GCAAAATACTAAGCTGCATCATCCTGGAGAGAATCAAACATGCCCTGGATTGAAAACTTCGGCCAGAACTTGCTAGATTCAGGAGAAACAAGTCATGTATCGATCAAATCCTCACACTGCGGATCATCATTGAACAAAGCTTGGAATGGCAGTCACCTCTCTATCTCAACTTCATCGACTTTGAAAGGCCTTCGACAGCGAAGATCGCGTGGTGATTTGGCAACAACTTCGCGTCCTAGGAGTGTCACCAACAATTATACATCTCATCCAACCGTTGTACGACAATGCTGCATGCCAAGTAGTCCACAACAGGAAACTCCTTCAAAGTAAAGACGGGAGTAAGACATTGCTGCCTACTATCGCCAATGATTTTCCTGACGTCGGTAGATAGGATAATGTGGCAGAGAGCGGGCAGGGAGGAAACAGGCATATAATGAACCTGTACAAAAACTTGGACTTCGCCAATCATATATCTCTGATTTCCCACAAACCAGAAGATATGCAAGTGAAAACAAACAAGTTGGCGAATAAAGCAGCATCAAAGATGGGACTCCAAGTAAATATAGAGAAAACAGAGGTGATGAAGAATCCTGGGCAACACCAACAACAACAGAAAACAATCAGCGTAAATGGGAGGAACCTGAAAGAAACAATCTCCTTTACCTACCTAATAAGCATCATTTCAACTACAGGCGGAACTTATGAGGATATCAAAGCAAGACAAGTTTTCACTACTCTCAAGCCTGTGTTGAGGTCAACAACAGTCAGCATCAAAAATAAGATCCGGATTTTCAACTCCAATGTGAAGTCAGTACTATTCACTATACGGATCAGAGACTTGCACTGCGCGTCAGAAAGAGCATCTCAAACAAACTACAGACCTTCATTACCAGTTGTTTTCGCTCAATACTTAAGATCAGATGGCCAGAAAAGATCAGCAACAGGGATCTTTGAGAACGAACCAACCAGGAACCGATTGTGCAACAAATAAGCAGGAAGAAATGGAGATGGATTGGACGTACTCTTAGGAAACCATCAAGTGACATCACTAGACAAGTCTTCGAGTGGAACCCGAAAGTGAAGCGGCGAGTTGGTTGTGCAAGGGTGACTTGGAGGAGGTCATGTGAAGAGGAGATGAACGTATGTGAACAGAAGTGGAGCCAGGTGAAAACTTTAACAAGTAAACAAACGCCATGAAGACGTGAAGCTGAAGCCCTATGTTCCTCTAGGAATTTTAGAAAATAACAATAATAATAGAACTTTCTCGAGAAAATATCAGTTCACAGGGAGTTTCACCAACACAAAGTGAAGCCAGAACTTTCTCCTTGCGTTGTCTACCCACAGTGTGACAGTTGTGCTAACAATAAGAATTATGCATGGGTTCTTGTCCGTTACTGTCTCCACGTGTCTGTAGACGTCCTCTTTCTGTGTTGGTTTTAGGTATACAGAACTGTATAACTGCAACTTCCCTTATTTTTGATTTGAATCTTGCAGTCACATTCTTTCGTGAGATCAGTGTTCAGCTCATGAACGCTTTCTATGTTTTCGGTAATAATATGATTAACACACTCTCAGCTAACTCGTTGTCGTCATCTGAGTCATTTGACTAGATTACTAACTCTACAGCTGTGAATTGAGTAATTTCACTTCCATTTAACCAGTGTTCACAGATTCCTAACAGTGTCATAACACACCTGGTTCAATCTGTGTTCTGAGCAGCCTCAGACAGGGTGAGAACACTTCGTGTCCTCATGCCTATGCTTGACATGTGACACTTTGGTTGAGTGGCTTACTCAAGGCTTCCACCCACAGACACAGTTCATCCTGGAAGTCGTCTTCTACATTCCAGCAAGGAATGAGTTCATTTTCATGTTTTTCTGTGCATCAAAGTTATCGTAGCGATGAGTTAATTTTTAAAGAGTGGGGTTTCCAGCCTAACACACAACCTTTCTCTTTTCAAAGGTTAGAAAGTGGTTGATAAGCCAGAAAACTAGTTAACCTCTCACAGTTGATCATCGAGTTACCATCCATGAAACTAACCAACATCGGATAAGTCCAATACATGAAATACGACAGCAATATCAGTAATATGAGAAATATTTCCACCATAGGGATCATGATATGAGAAAGAGTCACCGTGAACAAACAAGGCTATAAAATTATGCTAATACTGTATCTAATATGCTTATGAACAATAGGCGTTTACTGAACCACAATCAGCCTTATGAAATAAACACATCTGGTAGTGTCGTGTGTGTGTGTGGATAAAACAATTACTACAAAACACATCTCGCAACAATTACCTCATATCCGTAATCTAAGACATCTTGATATAAAACCGGTGTAATCGGAGGATTTCGGTCAGAAATACTTTTGACAGTTTCGACAACACTCGACACGTAATAATTTACTAACTGGGAAGAATTACCAGAGAATCCCATTTTTTGCATGAATTCAACTATTTCTGGATTCCTAACCCTAAAGAAAAGAACACACGAAAACACAATAAGTTTAATTTTCCCAAGTTCTTCGCCAGTGATTTTTAGAAACCGAATTTTCTATCAAAATAGATATCCAAATTACTGACTGATAGCTTCCATTATTGCAGAAGACAAATTCACGTTTTGAATGTCTATTTTCGAAAGGATGGCAGTGGGCAAGCGAAGCGGAGAACCCTAGTCAGATACATGGAAGGGCACTCATCATCCGGTAGATAAAGAACTTTTTAAAAGTCATAAAGTAGACGTCGTTCCTACTGAGTCTCATTGTGTCAATGTCTTCAACTGCTAACCACATCTGAGTGGGCACATCAAACTATTTTGTAGAGACCCAAGAAACTAGAATCATATAAACGAACTAGCTCATGTAAGTCGTGCTTGTGTCTGAAAGTGAAGTGACATCCCCCTAGTGAAGTCGTGTAGGACATTCAGCAAACAAATATTGTGGCATAATTCTCTTAAGCACTTGAGTTGCAAATTATGCCATCAACAGATTATTTTTATGATATTATATGGAAGGATATCATATCAATAAGTTAGTTAAGATGATACCGTCACATCCGCTTTGATGCATGACAGGTCTTGATCAATAAGTAGTATAGATATGCCTAGTTTATGATCCTGATTATGCGTATCTTATAAGATAAAATATGTTTACGTTTTATTGAAAGTGTCGGCGATTTCATTAGCGATATGCGTGACTGAAGACTTCAAATGAAACATCGATGACTCACAATTGCCACCAACATTAACGCCGTTTCATTTTATTCGAAATATGCTCACAAATGATCTGCAATTATTCACACATTCACATTCACTTTGTATAGTTCAGATTCCCTTACTTCACACCAGTTCACCATGACCTTTATTCAAACAGTTTTATTGAAGGCTGATACCAAACCCTGCGTACACTGTTCACGGTGTAAAACTCATTCAGGCTAATAATAAGGCATGAGAATTATTCTGTCAAATGCCATTCACAATGCATTCGGTATCGTTTCTGATGTCTAATCGTGACTCAGAGATGACTGGACAATAATTGTACAGAAAAACTATTCGCTTTATATATACCTTTATTATTTTAATTTCAACTATTTTCCTCAAGAGGTTTGGAAGTGTCCGACGAACGAAACACGAGAATCACTCATTTCAACTTGAATGAAATTCAAAGAAACATAAGTAGGTATAAAATGTACCAGATGAGACGAATTCAACCTGCTTTCATCACAAGAAAGAAAACATTTTCCGTCAGAATTCTTTGAGAATTTCGGGATGTCTTAGCGTGTCTCCTCAATGAAATGTGACATAAAATATGAGTTAACTCACCAATAGGCAGAACTTATGTCATTGTTTCCAAGATGAATATAGTTATCATGAAATCGGCTGGTGACTTCTGTAAACAGATTCTTCAAAAACTCAAACGTAGAATCCCTGGCTGGATTCAGTGGACCCAATTGTACAGTTTCATTGTAGTCTTGATGCCATTTTGTTAGTAAGTTTGGAAATGCTTTTCCCCAGGACAATGTATGCGCTGCAAGGAAGTATTGTGAAAACCAGTGAAGATCATTTTGACACGCTTTAGAAGGACAATATTACGTAGAAAAAAATGGCGTGGCTGTTCATCAGTCAACTCTCCATACCACTCACCATTTGAAATCGATTGTTATTTCGTTTACTTTGATTCTACACGAACTGCATTTCTTCATCCAAGCATAATCTGTACGACTTAAAATACAGTGATCAATCACTTGAAAGTTTTACTGACACTTCAACTAAGGATATTCAAGCGATTCACCTTTCGAATTCTTCATCGCGTTTGCTGGTTTATGTGAAGCGATTGAAAAAGAATAAATAGATCCGTAAACCCGCAATGATTCGAATAAAACTGTGGTGTTTTCTCCACAGAGAAACGATAAGGGTTTTCATCAAGTAAGCAACTCTCATGCAACTCAGCACTAATCCACTTCATCACCTCCCTGAGTTAATAAAGCTACAAACATGAAATCATTAAAAATCTGCATTATGGTTTCAAACATAATTCCTCTGCCAAACTCATAGTCCGACGTCCTGTTCGCGTCATTATTTCGAGAACACTATCTTACTGATTCAAGTATTTACAAAAATTAAATTTAAAAAATCTGCATGCGTCGGTGGCACAGTGGTTTCGACTCACGCCGACCATGCACATGGTCCGAAGTTTGATCCCCTGCAGAAACACACCCGATATCTATGGTCGGCTTGGAAAATTTAGGCTACCGATATCCATGCCTAAATTTCCATACTTGTACTGAAAATACGGTGCGGCATCAAGCTGTTATCAAAATAAAATAAAAAATATAGTTTCAAACCTTGTGCCTCTGCCGAATTCATGGTTCAACTTTCCATTCGCGCAATTTTTTCAAGAACACTATTACACTGACTCAAATATTTACATAATATTATTTCATGTGGACACAATTGGAGGATAATTACATCATACCAAATGTCTTCAAACTTATTTACCTGGAGTATCAAATTCTGGAATGATCCGAACTCCACGGAGACGAGCGTATTCCAATAAATCAGACACCTCGATTTCATCATATGTACACTTTTGTGGATGATATGCACCCTGTTGACATTGAGACGAGAATCAGAATTAATTAACAGCTGCAAATTCACTCATCCTACCTTATCTGACAGTTCTGGATAGGTGGTTGAAACAAAGGGAAACGATTGGTCATCTGTGATATGCCAATGAAAGACATTCATTTTAACCATAGCCATGATATCCTGAAAACAGAAAATACTATACCGAATATCACATCTCCTACTATTGTCTTCCGAATAGTTTCAACTGGAATGAAATTACTTCCAGTATCTAAGAGTATTCCACGATATGAGAATAATGGTTCATCTTCCACAGAACCCTTAAATATCATATTCTAGATGAAATATATTGATGAAGTAAAGTTTTCGACAAGAAAAAGAACGCACTCCTCCAAATTCATCTCTGTACACCATCTGAAGTACAGTTTCAAGGGCACGTAGTGCACCCCAAACCTCTTTGGAACTTATCGAGATTTCTGTATCTTCAATGTTCACGTTATCTGCAAAGTGGTGAATGAAATAATTCTTGTGTTGTGACTCACATGATTCGTTCATGATATGACTTGGCCACATTTTATCTGCATTTTCGTCACATCCATCCATGATTTCAATTTTCAGTTTCTTCATAATACATTTGTCTTTGCTTCCCTGAGGCATTGGCGGGTGCTGTGATGCTAGACGGAGTTGAAATCTTGTCAGTGCGTCTGTTAGTATAAAGCAATTTGAGTAGTTGTGTTCGTAAGTGAGTGTGTGCACCAGGTTGCAGGCTATTGAATCTTTGTTGTAAACTGTTGGTTTTGGGACTATAGCGAGGGTACGCCGACTTGCATTACTGAGGAGTAACACAACCACGAATAAGGCAGAATAGGAGATCATGATTATGTTTTGTTTCCCAGCAGTGTATTTCTCACTCGAATCTCATCAAGTTTTATACTAATTGAGAATTGGATTTTGAACGCATTCGACATGTGATGAAAAAAATATCATCCAACCAAATCAGCGTATTACTCAAGAGTTTGTTTGTGGGTTGTGTATTACTGGAATTGAGATAATTATAATGATTTCTGTAAATAATTTTTCGGGAAATACAAATGTTACGAAGATTGAACGTGAGTCAGTCAGTGTTTTCATATAAAGTGGAAATTTCCAGCTTAGGATATGCGTGTTCTATGTATATGTGTATCAGACACTGGCCATCCAACTTCCCTGGAATCACTTTATTTCAGCGAACTTCGGAAAAACTGCGGAAAATACCTGCATTCTAGTAAAGTTTAGTGTTGATGCATCTTTCAATGAACCAGAATGATGATAGGGCTAAAACTACATGGGCACAATTATGACCTGACAAACTTCTGCCCACTCGGTCATGCTTAAGGTCTCTGCTGTTTTTTTTTTGGTGTGTTTTTTCGACCAGTCTTGGACGCTATTTTGCACTTTTCTTTCATCTGGTAATACATACGACATCATACTTCATAGTTCAGCCAAGTTGATCAGATGAGCTTCTGAAAGCTCCTCTCGACGTTACTGTGACGTTCAGTGTTCTAAACAAGTTGTTCTGCAGAACATTTTGTTTCAAAAGCCAAACCTTTTTGATTCAACTGTTGTTACCAACTGTCGGAGGTTTGGTAAAGTTCAGATCAAGTTGTGGAATTAGTACATCCTGTCTAGTGTGGCATTTATAGTGTGAAATGTCATCCACACAACCCCTCATCTACAATTAATGAATCCGTGCCATAAGTGCAGTTCGGTTTACCGATACCCTCAGTAATTTACTGGTTGTAGTTTGCCTTGCTTTCGCACTGCAGATTGTTCCCATATTCTCATTTGTGTTAGTTCTTGGGTCATTTTATAATTTATAATGTATGTTCTCATCATAACTTACCACACGGAATGCTGATAACGACTTTCTTGTACAGGTTGTAGTTACCACAACACCTTCTGGACACACGAACATTCGTAGGGTTCGCTCTTACGGAAATTTTTTTCACCCCTTGTCTTAGGTGTCACTTAGTTATTGTGTGGCTTCCTGAAAATATTATCGGGGATAGGTGTGAGATCGTCGCCGATCCCTCGTGAAAACTTCAGGATCGTTTAAAAGGTGCTCTGATAAAAAGTGTTGTACCTACAGATTAGCGGTAGGTGCAAGAATTCTCGCCAGACGTACATTTTAGTGATTTCAGTCTCACACAAATACTTCATTAAATGTAACAGCTAGTCATTGATATAAAAATTGACGATGCATACAGAGGGCATGGTGAATCCTGTCAATCTTTGGAAATTCACTTTGACAAAGTTAAGAGAGGAAGATGATAGAACTATATAGGCTATTGACCACATTATTTAGTATTTCTTGCTGTGACAAGGATCTCTGTCCTCTCTAAACCGATGAGTCGTCCAGTCTCGACTCGGCGGCCCATGTAAATAAAATTTATCAGATGTGTAGTATTATGAAATATATGGCAGTAAGAAGTTTGTCGCATGACTTTATATTTATCTGTCCTTGCACATACTTCCGACGTATTGGGAATAATCGATTGTGTTTAAGGAACTCCCAATAGACTGTTACGTTTGTAATGAAAATGTTGTGATGCCACTCACGAAAAACACACTCCTTCTTGCATTACGGACGCCATTCAGGAAATATGTGGGTAGGCGTATAGTGATGACTAACGTCACCCGAGGATCAGACAACAGACTGCTGTTATCTCACAAGGAGTGGAAGAGCGTGTCTAGCGAAATTCATCCTTTAATATTTCCAGTAGTTGTGTTACAAAGATCGCTCATTTTTTAAGTCCAGAATTAAGTTTATGGTGCGTATAATGCTAAACGGTTTTTGGGGACTGACTATAAGAATAACCATTCGGCTAATTGCATCCTGAAATGATTCCTGGTAGGCTGTTACTAACCACTGTTTAGGAGTCGGAGTTATGTTAAGCTATGCTAACTCTTACAATTTCCAATCTTCTCGTTAAAAGTAGGGTAATACAAAGCGCCTAATTGTTTTCAACTCCTGGAGGTCGAAGCACCCACTGAAGTAGGCATTTTTAAATCCGTTCACGTCTATATTAATTTGTTTATTAGATATATCACATAGTGAGTGAAACAGTATTATTTACTGGATGACATGGCTTCTAGCACAATTTATTGTGGTTCATAATCGTATGCATGATAATCACACGACTTGAAAACTTGAGTTCTATAGTTTTGTTAATTCTCTCTTAATTGTCGTAGTGGCAGTAGAATTTTCCAGGTGTCCGAGTGGACAGGTGCTGAATCATTCAGAATACACGTGTTCGCAGTTGATTCGATAAATAGAGCTTCCATTATCAATATCTCTCTCTGTTCACCCTGTTACATTAGATTTGAATACCGTCATCTTATCTCATTCTATTGTATGGTTGTAAGTAATTGCATATAATGGTGTCTCAAACATCTGGAAAATTCTACCACCCGTATGACAAATAGAAAAAAAACAAAGAAAACCATAAAGCTCAAATTTTCAAGTCTTGTAATTATCAGGGATATGATTATGAACAATAAATTGTGCTCGAAACATTGTCATCCAGTAAATGATACTGTTTCACTCAATGTGTGATATATCTAATAAACAAACTCATAGGGAATAAACTAACACAGTAACGCTTACGTCAACTTATGATATCGGTGGATGGAATATGAATGCCTCTCCTGAAATTCAGTGGACGCCAATAAGCTCACCTTTTGGTGTGAGCAGACTGCAAGTAACATTCATGATTGTAAAGTGATGGTTGTTTTGTGTTCGTCTGTCGGTTAGACTGCAACAAGCCAATGTGTCGTTGCATGCGATGAGCGTGTTAAACAACAGTGACAACTAACTTGACGGCCTACTTAACAAATATCACTTCAATCCTGTCGGTTATAACCCTTGTGGAGTTAGCATTGATCTCTGTTTCAGACGTCAATTATGCATGTCTGCTATTCGATCAGTGTGCATGTGTGTGTGTGTGTGACTCATATAACTATTTTATTAATGATACTCCTGCCTTCCCCTGAAGCAAATAGATTTCACATTTGCTGATGTTATTCAATTGCAATATATATATTTTCCAGAAATAAAATGGTCAAAAATATGTTGCCTGCAGTTTAACTGTAGTGAAATTCATATATTCATCGCCACTATAGTGGCATTGAGTTTAATTACGTCATTACAGAAGACAGGATTCAGGAGACATTCATCGGTTCTCATCCGGTCACCAAAGGTTAGCAAGGTAGGGCTGGATGGGAATGCCAGGTGTCGCTGACCTTTTGACATACTGAAAATTCCACGTTGCTCTAAATTACTGTTTCGAATAGAAAATCCACTGCTACAAGTTTTTTTAAAGCTCACTAAAGAGAAATGCCAGAGACGTCTTTGTTAACCAAAACACAAATTCACTGTTTCACCTGAAGGAAACAGCCCTTCAAATAAGAACCACTCAGAGTTTATGGGTGACTGAATAGCCAAAGTGACAAATGAAGCAAACAGGCTATTTCAAATAGACAATGAAGTGATGGTTGTAAGACATGAGAAAAGATGACAGTGAGTTGAGTGACGGTGAGAATCTGATCGCACGGTAAGTGACATCTTCAGCTAAAAAGGTTAAACGTTAGTATCTCAGTTAGGATTTGGTTCAATTATGTAGCCATCCGAGTGATATAGACCTCATCTGAACTGCCAGTGGGTAGGTCGAGAATGCATATTAATAACTAAGAAAGACCGTGGAGGAACTGATACATTAATGGTTAGAATGCCAGAGCAGCGTTTATTATTTAAAAAGACACAAGGATGAGTTCACTTAAGCCAAACAAGGTAGTAATGGCTATTTTTAGGACCATATCTGTATGGATATTATCATATTGGTGAACCCAAATACATTCAACTCTCCGGTATCCTTCAAAAAACTGTCGGTTTTCCCGCACGTTTCTTACCACTAAGGTTAGTGGTCACGGTGTTGCCGTTGTATTTTCCAAGGTCTCCCTTTCGAGGATTCGAAAACCAAAAAG